TAGGTCGTGAGCTTCTTTCTCTCCCGAATTTCTCAGATTTATTTTTCTTCTTCTCTAGATCACTAACTTCTTGTGTCTTTTCATGAAATTCAGGCTAGGAAACTTATTTTCGGAGGATTGAAGTCCCCAAGTAGAGCTTCGGGAGAAATTCTTCTTCTTCTCAAATTCTTGGCTGTTAGGAGTCAATCTTCAAGTAAGGGAAGCTAAAATGTATGTTGTTTAGTTGCATGTGAGTTTAGGAACTCAATTGGTGCATGAATTTGAAAATCAAGGGTTGAATTAAAAAAATCCTCATTTTTTGGATTTTTTGAAAAATTGAGGTTTTGATGATTTTGATGCATCGGGTAGGTGCATGTTGAATCGTAGAGTGATTTCTGATTGTATGGAGTTTATGTATTATGTTGTATGGATTATATGTGGTTGAATTTCCTGGTTTTCAGGTTTGGATGGAATTTTCAATGTTTTGGGAAGTTATTATTTGAATTTGCGTCAGGCGCATGTTCTTAGTGTCGAGCTTGTATTCATCAGAGGCAGCTATTTCCTAATCACACCAGGCACGAGGTTAGTTGTGCCAGGCACGATTTGAGATGGGTGTCTCTGGATGAATCACACCGAGCATGAGGAGAGCCAAGCTGAGCACAATATCAGATAGTGGCTCGTTGTGGTATTTTATTGATATGGCACCGGGCGCAAGGTAGGTGCGCCGGGCGTAGAGACCTCTAAAGGTCTCTATTTGGATGGCGTCGGGTGCAAGGTGGCTACATCGAGCGTGGAGACTCTTAAGAGTCTCTGTCTTGAGGATGTCGAGCGCAAGTTGATTGCACAGGGCGTGAGGGAGCCTTATAGCTCTCAGGTTAGATGTTAGGCCGGGTGCGAGATGGCTACGACGGGCGTGAGCATGCTTAATGATTTGGTTAACTTGCTAAGTTGCTTGATGGATATGAGTTGAGTAGTTGTTGACTTAAATTGTTTATATGTTGTGTAATTGATGAAACTAAGTTGTTTACATGTTGTTTTATTGTTGAAATATGAATAAGTCAAGATGTATAAGTTGAAGTAGTCTATTGTTGTAAAATTGATATGGTGTTAACTATAGTTGATCAAGTTGTTTATTCAAATTGATGTTATGATGCCTATTGTTATAAAAAAATAATTATAAAATTCAAAATTTTCATATTTATAAAAAGTTGCTTACTTTTAGAAAAAAGTATTTATAAATTTTAATTGTTGTCCAAAACAACAAGCTATTTTTTCCCAATGAAAACAGCTTAATGCACACACACACACATATATATATATACGATGATGGTTCAAACGACACTGATATAATTTTTACTAAGTGTTACACCGCTCAATAACTTTATATTAAATGTAAATTTTGAAAATCCAACCATTAGATTGAAAGTTCATATCTCTTAAATCATATATGTTAAATTTTGTTAAAATTGAACAACAACTTGAAGGTAATCAAAGGGTTCATATTTTAGTATATTTTGAAATGTATATAAAATTACACCGGTATCGTTTTATATATATATATATATATATTTCAAACACACTAAATAAGGAGTTTTATTTCCTCCTACTTCAATATTTTTTTTTACAAAACCAACTTTAACTTATCGGTTCTATGATTGTTGGAAAATAATTATCTCCTACGAAACTAAAGGGGCAAAGCAATGATAATAAGGAATGAGAAATACTGAAATAGAGCCAGATTCACGCTGCATAGCGAAGCATTCTTGTGTTTGATTGAAATCTTCCTTTTTATCATCACACGATATTGTTTTCGTTGCTTTTTTCTTCAACCTGACCAAAAAAAAATCGTTCTCTCTTCTAAACTATCTAATAAAACTGAAGAGAAATTTCTAACATCATTCATACAAGTTGCGTATTTAAATTAATTGAATTTGTTATAAATTAATTTGAAACAAACCATTCTTTGCTTCACTTTATTTGCACCTTTGCTTCACTTTATTTGCACCTTTCAGTACACGTGTTTACTTTATTGTTACCGTAAAAGTGTTGAGAATTTAGATAGATACACATTTTGTATTTATCTTTCTTCTATGATATAATTTTTCTTTTATACTATCTCCTCACTCAACTAATAATTGATTCTATAGGTTTTTAAGAAAAATAATTCCTAATTAATTTTTATTTACTTAAATAAAAAACAAGACTTGAAATTATTGTTTATCAAATTTATTTATAAAAAATATTATTGAAAACACGAGTTTATAAAAATTAAAATGTTATAAAACCCGTGTGAATGTAAAATTATTTAAATATATATTTTATATTTTAAAACTAGATTAATTATTAAACTGATTAAGACATTAATTAAAATTTCAATAAGTCAATTGTAACCATATCGATGTTAATAAAATAATAATATTATAATAATTAATAAATTAATAATACATAAAAATATTAATAAATATAATGTTATAATAATATACTTTAAAAATATAATTAAATATTATTTATTTGTTCTTAAAAGTTTAATATATACGTCAAAGTCAAAACTAAATATAGTAAAATCTTTAAATTTAAATTTAATAGAAACATAACACTTTTTATTAACAATAACAAGCTTATATTGTAATAAAAAGCGTGAAATTAATATAATATAATATAAAAATTACAAAATAATATAAATAATTAAATTGTATAATTATATAGAAGGTATTAAAAATAATTTATTTTGTTGTACCAAAAAAAAATAATTTATTTTAAAATATGTAATTTTATTAAATATGATTTTTTATATAAAAAAAATTAAATAAAATGTTTAAAATATATTTTAAAAAAATAAGATAGATTCACTAATTTTTTACCAATTTGACCAGTTATTGTTTCATTTAAGCCAATTTTGAAATACTACGATTTTTGCTAGTTGTTAAATCGAATACCTAACAAATTCTTGGTCTAGTGGTCAAATAAATCGATCTAATTTTCAAAACAATACTTAGCACTCGTATAAGACACATGTTATTACACTAATTTAATATAATAGACACTAAAATAGGAAAATTACATATCACTGATCTGTTAAACAAGTGTATACAACAAGATCAAATAAGGATAAAAAATAGATAAACATAAAAAATATATTGTCAGGTTATACAAATTTTCGTATAAGTATGTTTTTTAAAATTATTTTTTATATATTAAACACGAATTATAAATCTATATTTTATAAAGTATTTAACTTAATGTTTTTAGAATTTATTGAAATTGATTTTATATTTCAAAATTTTGTAAATGTTAAATAAATTATTTTCAATATTTAGGTAATAAATAAAATTAAGTATGTATCGTATTATAATGATTTAAATACTACTAATCTATTTTTGTTACAAAATATTATTAATTCAATAAATTTATAACAATATATTCTTATTGTAAAGGAATACAATGATATGCAACCATTTTTTGTTTATATTTTTTAGTAGATTATTATACCCCTCAAATATTAAAAAAGATAAATTATCATCACTTTTAATATATATCTATACTAATTTACACTAGTATATAATGGGATACTTCTTTTAACATATTTTGTCCTCACTCACACACTTGCTAAGAAACATTTTAAAATGTTGCCCATCCCTAAATGCTTAATTGTGGAGTTCTTATGGAATATGTTACCTAAAAATATATGTATATTGTTAATATATGTAATACAAATTAATTATTTTAAGTTACTTTTAATTATACAATCTCATACTTGTATAATTTCTAGATCCTCTCATCCCGGTGTGTCTATGTAACTGTTTCTTATCTCCACTTTCTAGTAAACCAGTATACCCTTAGATATTAAATATATATATA